ATACACACACACATACACACACATACACACACATACACACACATACACACACATACACATACACACACACATACACACACATACACACACATACACACACACATACACACACATACACACACATACACACACACATACACACACATACACACACATACACACACATACACACACATACACACATACATACAGCTTAAGTATCCGATTCTGGATGGCATTCACCACTCCACAAACGTACATACACACACACACACACTGGTAAACCTCCACCACCATCCCACTCCTCACATACATACACATAACTCCTGGCTAAAGCTAAATCCTCAAATACACCTGCCGGGCCCCCCCACCCCCCCACCCCACCTCCCCCCAGGCGCGTCCCTCCACTTTTGGGACGCTCCGGACGACATCTCCTCCGCCGATATGGACTTGGTTCTGGAGCGGGGTCGCATGTACCTGCTGGGTGCGGTAGGCAGGTTCGGAGCTGTGCCCATCACCCTCACCGGGGATATGGATCTCAACCCGGATACGGGGACGTACAGGTTGGTTGGTTGTTGGTTGTTGGTTGGATAGTTAGTTAGGTGGTTAGTTTGGGGGGGCACTTCATTTGCTTAAGGGGGTCTCCTTAGTTTTATTAAGGTGGTGTGTGTGTGTGTGTGTTTTGCCCTGCTTTGTGTGTGTGTGTGTGGGGGGTGCGTGTGCATGTGGGGAGGGAAAGAGACGTGTGGACGAAGACTTCTCGTTGTTTGCTGTCCGTTGTCTGTTGCATTCAGTTGCATTGCTTCGCACCTGCTGTAATTCACCAACACACACATTTACACACACACACACACATACACACACACACACACACACACACACACATGAAAGCACACACGCGCGCACATGCGCACATTCCGAAATGAGGTAAACGCACTCGTACTGCCATCCTCGTGCACACCCTGTTGCCTGTTTGGGCAGTTTGGGCTGTTTCAGACGATTCGGGTCGTTATTTCCCTCTTTCCCCCCCCAATGGTCATGTGGCCTCCATCATGCATACACACATACACACACAGGCCCCGCGCGGCTCAGATCGTAAAAACACAACCCCCCGGCCCCCCTCCCGCCATCCCCCCCCGGCCCCCCTCCAGGCTTCAGGCCAATGTGCCGGGCGGCGGTGTGGAGGTGAATGCGCTCCGAGCCACGCTGGGTGTACGACCCGTACCCATACCCGTTGCAGGGGCAGTGCGTGGTGTACTGCACTGTACGGGGCCGCTGGAGAGGCCCATTTTCTCAGGTGGGGGTGTGCATGTATGTCTGTACGTGTGTATGTGTTTAAATGGGGGGTTTCGATGGAGCATGTAAAGGGATGGGGGAGAAGGGAAGGTTAGTGATTGAGGCATTACCTGCTCTCCACCACCGAGACACCACCACACTTCCCTTTCGGATAACCCGAACTCCCCCCCACGCGACACGTCAGACCCTGACAATAGGTCTTGTAAAGGATGACGTGCGTATACGCGTGTCTGTCTGTCTGTCTGTCTGTCCGTGTTTCCTTTTCAGGATCCGCGATTGCCGTACGTCCATCCCGGGAGCAATTGTCAGCGGGGTTAGAAGACACCCCCGCACTGGCAGCCTTAGTACGGGCGTACGGACGTACGAGCAGCGGAGATAGTCGCAGTAGCAGCAGCACTACTGGCAGTAGTGGCACTGGCGGCAGCAGCGGGAGCAGCGGTGTCGCGGTGGCGGCGTACGACAAGGTGCCGCTGCTCGGGGCGCAGGTGAGGGGGGGTTGAGGTTTTAGGGTTTTAAGGTAAGGTGGTGATGGTTGGTCAGTTGGTTGGTCGGTTGTTAGCAGCTAATTAGGAGCTATCCTTTCCGCAGCATATGCACTTGCTTACTTTGAAGTAAGTCCTATCGTACCCTTTGTCGTATTTTGTTGTCGTACGTAATCGTACTTTCCCCCTCCCTCCGTGTGGTGCTTGGTAATGTTGTTTATGTTAAGGCCCATGCCCGCAATAATATCCGATTTTTGCCTGTCAAAATCGAAATGCCCCTCGTGGTAGCGTCGTCGTCTTGAGCTCCGTTTTCGTTTCGTTTCCTTTCTTTTGAGCCGTTCCTCAGACGAGCTCGTGTGTGTTTTGTGTGTCCCCCGCCTCCCCCCCCTTCCTTCTTGCATGAGATTTCCCCCCCACCACCACCACCACTTTCGTCTCGTCCTCGTCTGATTATTTTGCTGTCTGAGGAGGTTGCCTTCTTAACCACCTCCCATATCTTCGCTCTCCCTCTTCGCCACCTTCTCCCCCTTCGTCACCTGCCGTACGCACCTGCCGTACACACCCGCCGTCATTGCGGCTCCGAAGGCCGTCTTCACTCTGGACATGGCTACACAGATGCTAAATCTCCATTCCGTACAGGTGAATCTCCACCCGCCGTACATGGGCAGGACGGTGTACGACATGTTGCTGTTGTTGTTATTGTTGTGTGTATTCATGGCCCAACCATGTTCCGCCCTCCCGCCCTGGCAACACGAGGCGGTCTCTGTGCCGGTCTCCCCCGCCAAGGGGGTGGGCGGCTGCTCCCCCTCTCCCGCCCCCTCTAGGGGTGTCCCGGGACAGCGACACGTCATTGCTTGGGCTGCAGCTCGTACGGCAGCTGGCGGTGCTTGGGATTCCTGTGTCGGCGGCTGTTGACCCTTCGCTTGTTGCATTCGCATAATCCCCCCCCCCACCACCACCACCGGGCACAGACACGCACATACACACGTACCCCTTTTCTCCCCTCCCCCCCGTTTTCCCCCCCCCCTTCCCCCCCTTCCAGGTTCAGCCCGATGGGGGGGGCTCCTT